TAGCATGTACCACACAAGAACTGCTGATGTTAGAAGAAAGGGACCAATCTTAGCAGAAGCTCCAAGTTTGAAGCGTAAAATGGGGGCGAGTTTTAACGAAAAGGATGATGTTAAGAGACGAGATACAGAATATGAAGAATTTGAAAGCGAACCTACGTTTGTTGATGAAGAACCAGAAGAGGAAGCGGAATATCAAAATAAGTTTCGAAAGACCATACCGCCCAGTAGTCCACTCTTGGACCATAATATGGCTTCAGAATTTGATTTGTCCACGAATACCACTACAAATTATGAAGTGCCGGATTCACCAACACATATATTCCCTAGTGAAAATAACACCAGACACGATTATATAAATGAAATACCTGAGATAAAACGTACCATAATATCACGAAATCAACCATCTTTAAGCTCTGATGCAGATTTTGGTATAGACAGATTTAATAGGTTTATAAATACTTCTAACCAATGTCCGTCAACCGATAGAGATTTTTTACAAGATTCTGAAGAGTATTTGCAAATGCAAAAAAAGATTCAGAATAGGGCTAGAGATATAGTTATAGATGCATTTGAAAACATTGAAACCACAATAAACTTAGAGGGCATGGGCTTACAAGATATCCCTGACGAAATTAAGGATTTTGACAATTTGGTGATATTTAATCCTGAGCCAACAACGCAAATCTCATACCAGTTATACCTAACTAACAACAGCATAAGATACTTAACTCCTTCGTTATTCAAATTTACTAAATTGAATGTCTTGGGATTACGTCGAAATAAATTGAAGACAATTCCCCCTCTTATTGGCAACTTACAACATCTAACAGATTTGTCATTAGGCACAAATAGACTAGAATATTTACCTCCACAAATATTGGACTTATATAACTTGCAAACTTTTAGAGCAGGTCCTAATCCATTTATCCAAATTCCAGAAGATTCTATTCCAATAACTACTTCTACTCTCAACCCAGTTAAATTGCTCAAGTATGTTTCTCGTGTTCGATATTTTGGCAATCTGAAAAAGTTCATACCTTCGTTGAAAACGCACTGCTTAAACACTATTGCTAAGTATGACGTTTCCTACCAAGAGACCAAGAGTTGGAAAAGGTCCACTCCTAAAATTCATCATAGCTTGATTGCAAAGGCTATATCGAAAGGAAAGTACGAAGAACGGTGCAGTGAATGTGACTTTATAATAGTAGAACCGTTTGCAGAAGCCTTTGAATGGTGGGACATCCTTCAAAATAAGGATGTTCCAATAAAGAGAGAATTTTGCAGTGGGAAATGTGTGAAGCAATGGGAGTTAAAGGTCCTCATTAGTACAAATAAGGATGATTGATAAATCATATAATTCATTATATTTATAAATTTTTATAGAAGTTTTTAGATGCAGAGGTGATTTGAATATATTATAGCATTTTAACATAATTTCCTGGAAACAAACCAACTTCATCTTCAATACTACCTTTCCACCATCCGCCAGAACTGTCAAATATTTTAATAATTTCACCCGCTTTAAACGAGAGGTCACCTTCTTGTTGTCCTCTGAACGAAAATATTGCTTGACAGTATTTATATTCCGGGTCATAATTCTTGATTATTCTCTCTTGTTTAAAGATAGGCAGTGAATCTTCACTCATAGTAAGCTTATTAAAGAAGTTTTCACGGAAATTAATAATAGATAACAGATCTAATAAGTCGCTTGCAACTTTATTTTTTGAATTAAATTGTTCGATAATTCTACTACTATCCGTATCTTTTTTCAATTCTTCCAAATCAATATGAAATATATCTTGAATTGATAGAAGATTAATATTTATTTGGTATGATACTAATAGTTGAACATAATAAGTCCGAAGTTGAATTGGCTGCAAAATTGAATCCACCAATTTGAAAAAAAAAGGCAATTCTTTTTTTAATAAATCATTTAGGTAGGTATAAGCCACCTTATTTTCTTCTAGTTTTCTTTCTAAGTTGTACATTTGCAGAGACTGCTTAGTCGATAATTCGTCTGTCTTGTGCTTCAATAACAAATTTTCGTGAGTGTTGTATGTTTTATCATAATCCATTAACGCATAATTACGATTCCTAATATGTTTTTTTATAAAGTTCACTAATTTGAGAACTTCTGAAACCTTCTCTTCTACCATACTTCCAAGAATTTCAATTTCATTCTTAATGGATGGTTCTATGGTTCTCGTGCATTCTACATAAGACGTGCAATTTGACCATATTTCATATTCTTCTTGAAATATAGCTTGTCTTGATGCAGACAGGAATATGCTTTCGTTTTGGGAATCAAAATTTCCAATTTCTTCTAGCTTTGTCTTTATAGAATTTGGCAAAGTATTATACGGGTCGAATAGCTGCTGGAAAAAGAGCCCTGCGTTCTTTGAATGTGTTAAAACCTTAAGAATTCCAGAACAATATCCCAAAGTGTATTTAGTTAAGCTATTTATCTTCTTTTCGGTATACAATAGGTTATTTTCTAACTCTATGAAATCTTCGTCAATGGTATATGATTCTAAATTAGCTTTTCGCCTCAATAGTTGAGGTGTTCTTTTAATATTATTCCAATCAAAATGATCTTTGGTAGAGGTTTTGAATTTTTTATCAGCTACTTTCAATTGTTTGGATACAAGTGAAGATATTTGGTTCATATTAAGTACCGGGTTATTGATATTCATATTTTTATGTTCCATTTTAACATAATTTGGGTATTACCAGTGATTTATTCAGAATTTAATTGTAAAAAAATGGATTTGTGAATTTCGCAACCAAAAAAAAACAAAAATCTATTATTTCTATAAAATGTACACAGAGTATATTTAAGTTCCTTAAGGATGACCATGATTTGAACCAGGCCACGCAAAGATCCTTTCAGGACCTGGTGTTGCACTTCCACTACTATTTGAACCATATTCACTCTCTATTAATTCAACAATGCTACTGGAAATTTCCAGATCTTCAATAGCTCTCAATTTTTTTCTGAATACATCCTTAATATTTTCACTAATATCATTAGTAGTATTAAGCTCATTTCTAATTTTGGAGGCATTTTCTTCAACAATCTCACTTAAACTTCTCATCAACCTATTTCCAAATATTTTGTCTGTAGGCAAGTTGGTGTAGATCTTTTTATGTAAATTTTTAACGACACCCAAGTTGGATATTACTTTATTAAAATAATCTTCCAGTTTAGAATCGACGGTATCACGGTCAGCTTCTAGTGGAGGATTAACTAATAACAATGCGGCGTAGTACAACATAATGTGAATATGGACAGGAACATACTTCAAGTTATTTAGAATATCATTGTCGTTGAGAACTAAATTCAAGACTGTTTGGGCAGCATTGATGGCAATGCTAGCACTCACGATTGTCTCATCATCAGATATGTGATCTCTGTTTGAGATAAACTCCTCATCATCGGAATCATCTTCTGAATCTACATCATTACTAACGATCCTTTTTTGTTTTGGAGCTTGGGGTTTTATTGACAGGTTCCATTTAGGGAACATGCTTCTTTCATCTGCTGTATCCACTTGAAGTTGCCTAACTGCGGAAGAATTTATGTACATCTTTGCAAAGTTATAGTAAATCAAAGTTGATTTAGATGACCAAACAGAACCATTACTAACAGGTGATAGCAAAACCGTCCAAGAAACCATCCATTTGTCTAACTCTAAATTTGATTTAGAGGGAATACCTAAGGCCGAAGGTGCCAATAATTCCCATGCATTACCTTGAAAAGCTTCGTTTAAAGCTTGGTTATATTCGACTTGAGAGACTAAACGCATATCAGTAAATCTTTGCCTATGCGCTGCTTCTTGAATATAGGCATCATCTGGGATCATCTTTGTTTCTTTTTGCTTTTGAACTACCGAGCTCTCATTTTTATCTTCAATTTGAGATACTGATGACAGTAAGGCTAAGTTTCTCTCTTGTAATAATATAGATCTACTATGTTTGAGTGAATACTCTTGAGAATTAACTAATGGCTGTCTATTAAATGTCAAGCTTTGTTGTCCATCCAAGACATATAACAAATACCATAATTTAATTCTATCTTTTTCATTGAGTGAACCTTTCAATTCATGGTTGGGTACAGGGGAATCTAACCCAATTTCTTTAGCTAATTGTAATGCCAATCCTGTAAACATTTGAGAATCAGAGAGCCAGAAGCTGCAGAGTATTAATGCTACTATAGTGTTAAAGCCATCAACTTCATTCTTGGGTTTTCCTTGGTATAATAATTTCCCACACAATACGTGCAAGTACCCATGTAATTCTTTCAGCTTACCAGATAATTCCTCGTTTGGATGATGCATAGAGGCGATCGTACAAATCGCACATATCAATATAGGCGATGATTCCCAAATAGCATCAACTGCAAACTTAGAAATTTCAAACCCAAACAACTGAGGCGATATATGGGTATCAAAAAAGCTGAAAAGTTCTCTTGCTTGGTGAATATTCAAGAATCCGTCCCGGAAATCTTCTGGTCTACTTTGATTTTCTTTACCAATCCTTTCATTCCCCTTATGCCTTTTACGAGAGTCAAGCTTACTAGGTTCATCACCAATATATCGCCTTCTCCTATCATGCTCATCGTCTCCTCGATAATCTCGATAGTTATTGTAATGCAAAGGTTCGTCTATTGTTTTATGGGAATTCCTAGGAGAATTAGACATAGATGCAGGTAATGAATTATAGTTGTACTCACCATTCTGTAAAGCACTCTGTTGGGGTGGGGTTTGCTGGTGAGGTATTTGTTTCTGATATGCCATCTGTTGTTCGAGAAGAACTTTCTGGTTTGTCTTCAAAATATCCACTAGATCATTCAACTTATTATCAAAAACACTAATTCTATTTTCTATCAGTTGTTTCCATTGTGATTCGTTATCTAGTGGCGCCACACCGCCTGTAGGACCCGGTACTACTGGCACACCTTGTTGCGGTACTGAATGAACCATATACGTTTGCATTCTATTGACTTGATTCGTTTGTACATTCGCTATCGGATTCAAGGGTGGTAACGTTATTTCACTGTCATTCTTTCCACGGACAGTATTGTTCAGCGGAGTAATTTGTGGTAGTTTTAATGATGGAAGCTTGGGAACAAATTGACAATTAGCGGCTTGCCCACTTTTTACACATCGTTCACAAGGTAATGTTTTGGAATATATACATTTCACTTTAGATTTCTTACAGTTTGAACATGGCTTTGTTCTTTTCTCCTTAGCCATAATACCTTTGCAATGATCTATGTATTTATCAATAGTATAGAGAAAAGAATAATAGTCAAATGATGCCAAAACTGTAAAATTTCATTTTGCGCTTTTCGTACACAACTTCCCCGGATAATATAATTAATAATATTAATATTATCATTCTACTACGTCCTTTAAGGGGTATTAATTACTAAATATTAAAAGAAAAAGTTATAGCTTGAATAGAATACTTAAAAATGTCCATGAAAATTAAGATTAGATCGTTCTTTGGGTCATCGAGACAATATGTTGTCACTGGAGCATCTAGCAATCCCTCCAAGTTTGGCTTTAAGATATTACTGTGGTACATAAGTCACGAATTGCCGGTTGTGCCAATTAATCCTAAATCTAAAGAGATTTTAGGTCAGGAAGTGGCTCCTTCGATTATTCCAGTTATGGAAGCTATAAAGAACAAGAAGGATTTGGGATCCCACAAGCTTGCCAATAAAGATGGATTGAGTATTTCATTTTTGACTCCGCCAAATATTACGGTTGCAACATTGCAGGAGATTGCAAGTATTGAAGGGTATGAAAAAGTCATCAAGGGCTTATGGTTTCAGCCCGGTAGTTACGATGGATCAGTGATTGAAGAGGCCAAAAAAATTGGTTTATTTGACCTTGTAGTATTTGAGGATGAATGCATATTAGTTAGAGGTGAAGAAGGGTTATATAGCGCTAATTTATAGGTAGACCATCTCCTATATCTTTGAGTAGTAGTTAGCTCAGATATATGATATATTATGTTACACGATTAATCTAGCATCTTTTTGATGTAATTGCCCCATCCTTCGTCATCGCCAGCGGTATAGTTCATATTTTCAGGAGCCTTTCGTTCCACATCAATAGAATACGGAAATGGAGAACTGTCCAACGAAGTTATGGGTGGAATGTAGTCTTTCTGACTGTCTGCGATGTCTATAATTTTCCTCATATTGTTTTCAAAACTATTTATCGATATAGCAACGTTTTGCTCGTATATTCTCTTATGAGTGTCTTTTGTTGATCCAGATGACTTTTCTAAACCACGATTTTCGCCTCCACTTTCTTTGATTATTGGCAAACATTTTACGTTTATTATCCACGATTCCCACGGTTTGAGGTCCTCAGAATCGCTGCTTTTACCTTGCCCAAACCATCCAGTCTTCTTTTTGGACTTAGTAACTTGTTTATCGAGAAATTGTATCACAACTTGGCCCATTTTTGCTTTTTGCTCTTGATTATCTTCTGATTTCTGTACGATAGCATCATCAAACTTCTTTTTAATCAATTGATTAATCCTTTCGTCTATTAAAGAATCCAAATCCGGTAAATCAGAAGTCATTGGGTATGTTATACTAAGAAACTCATTGGTTGTTGGTGTTATAGGTCCAAATAGTCTATGAAAGAATATCGTCCATATTATACCTGGGAATTGTTAGTAAATATGATCAGTAAAGGTTTGGAAGTGATTGAGATACGTACCTTTCAACGATTCTCTTACAACAGATCTTTCAGCTGTCAAATTTAGTATATACTCCATACTTCTATACTATTCACAAGTTTATGTTTTATATGGATTATATATTAAGAAAAGGTGTATATTTATTGACAGAAGCTCAGTGCAAAACAAAAAATCCTTATCTCACAGTTTTATTAAATGCTTTGTATGACATCAGCAATTATTTTTTTTAGTATCCATCATTTACAACAGGTTGTAAAATCATGTATTACAATAGCCATGGGTGCTTATAATCTAGTTAGTTAATATTTTCAATAAGACAGAAAAATGAAAATAATATCAATTCTATACTATTTCTATTTACATTGATTGTAATACAGACTATATACGTTTAAATGATTAATTGGAGTTCGATGCCTGGTAATTTCTCTTATTTTTGCTTCCTCTTCTTCGGCTGATTTGGATCTGGTTCTTGCTTGTCATAAATATACTTTCCATTCTTCATTTCCTCCAATATATCGACAATTTGAGGCATCACATCGTAGGTCAATACCTCTTGTTCCAATGGAGTGAAAGGAGATAAAACATAGTTTGATACATCCTTCGCTGAAGGCTTACCGATTCCGATAGATATCTTTGTGTATCCACCTCCCATTAAGGAGTCAATAGATCTCAAACCATTGTGACCTCTAGCACTGCTAAGCTGTTTTCTTATTTGAAACTTACCAAACGGTACCTGTAACTCATCATGAAGTACCACCAATGCTGGCGAACGTGTTGCCTTTTGATAGTTACTAATTTTCTGCCAGGTTTTACTAACCGGTGCTCCTTGCAAGTTCATAAACGAATGTATTGATTTGAAAAGAAACACATCTGAAAGCTCTTTCGCACTTGATGTGCTATATACCCCATCAGGAATATTCTTATGAGATTGAAATGCATTGAAGGATGTCCAATGGTTCTTAATTAACTCCTCGAGAGCCCAATGGCCCACGTTATGTCTGGTTCCTTCGTATTGGGGCTCTGGATTACCGATTGATGCAATCATCAAAAATGGCGGTTTTTCATGTTCTAAAGTGCTAATAGATCTTCTAAATTCTGTGAAGACATAACGATTAAGTAGTTCCCTAGCCTTATACCTTATTATTTGTATTGGCATCATTATTATCAATAGAAAGAATTGAAGCATATTGCTCTTCTAGCGGAAAATTTAATTTCCATATTCGCATATATTCTTATCGAAAAATTTCGATAGTACTTTCAATTTTAAGAATCATTCTATTGTAAACTACTCTAACCTTATATATATACATATATCTCATTTTCTTGAAAGAAAATTTAAGAGAGATATCTTTGATTTTGTAAACGTAAATGATAAGCCAATAATGACCTTAGAATACATGAGAGAGCATTTGGAAGACATAATTGGTTTAAGAAAAGATTTTTTATTCATATTTGATCATATATTCCTAGAATTATCAATAAAAGGATATAACATGTATATTACTAATACTATTAGTACAAAAATGCAACCAGATTGTGATTGTAAGTGTATAGCAAATTTGGTCAAGCAAATGGTCTCGGCTGCAAAATATGCGCAGACTCTAGAGCATATCAAATGGCAATTAGTTATTGACATCAAAGGGAGAATGTATCTTTCTCTTTCTGGGTGTTTCGAATTTCAGAAATTCCTTTTGGATAAGTTGGACCGAATTTGCTAAATCATGTTTAACATCGTTGAAATTCATCTCTTTTGCAGTTATCCATCTCTCCGACTTATTTATTCTATAAAGTTAGTATGTGCCTGCCAAGGAAGACGTTAATTTGCTAGTTGATTCAAACATACCTTTCGGCACTTCTTTCTCTATCAAGAGTAAATATTATTTCTTGCCATGCTCGTCTCTCCTGTGGTCGGTTAGTATGATTTGCAAAGAATATTAATTTAAAAAATCGATAGTTACCTTCATGGATTGATCAAGGTCTCTGATAGTAATCTCCATCTGATTAATGTAGTCATTAAAGATAAAAGCATAGGCTTCTTCAATTTTGGACCAATCAAAATTATCAATTTGCTGAAACGTATTAAGACTCTTTAATTTGTCAATTTGAGCTTGTGCAGATATTTTTACGTCCTCAAGCTCTTGATATCCTTTTATGGATTCTTCTTCTATGAAAATATTCCTACGTTTGAGATATTTACTTATTCCTGAAAGTGTTTCCATTTCATCAGTTTCGTTCTGTTCTATTGAATTTGCCGCCGGACTTTCTTCATGGGTATTTTCACAGCTCCTTTTCTTTATTCTTTTCAGTGGAGTTTCATCTATAATTTTGGACAAACTATTCCTTAGAGAGGAAGAGGAGGAGCAACTATGTTCTTGTTCTAAGCTCGTCGGCGTTACTACCTGATCCGATCTTCCAATATCAGAAGTCGGAAAAATAGTAGCGTTAACGTCGCAAGAAGGCATTTCATTCCGTTTAGCGTTTGAAAGAGAAGACATAGGTAGACTACCACTCATATTTGCAGTATAAAATCACTATTATACGTTTTATGCTTGCAAGAATTTTGCAGTTTTCAAAAATTATAATAATACTCATGTCGCGTAAATCGTTGATTCATACTAGATAAATAATAATAAATAAATAAATACGTAATAGTATATCATAAAATCCAACTTCAAAGTTTTCCACTTAGAAACTTGTCTCATAATGCAGTCAAATTTTTGTGGGAAGTGTTGTATCTTAAATGTTGAGCATTAGAAACCTTCTTCAATTCTTGTAACCTTTCTCTCAAAAAAGGAACATCTCTCAAGTTCTTCTCTAATATCAATCTTTCTTCTTCAAACTTCAATCTTTTAGTTGCGTCCAATTCACCGAAGAAATAACCACCCTTTCCATCAAACTTAAGCAAATAATTGTGGAAGTGCCATAACGCAGGTCTGTGTGCAACCGATAACAACGAAATGCCTAATTCTTGTGCATGTTTATACATAAATTGTTCCATGGCTGGAGAGACGGCCGAAGTACATTCATCCAAAACAGCAAATTTAGGTCTATGGTAATATAACCTAGCCATAGCCAATCTTTGCTGAGCTCCGACTGATAATTCTTCAGCCCAGTTTCTCGTCATATTCCAAGGGTCCTCTCCAACCAACAAGTCATCTAATTGCAAGATTTTCATAATTCCATTCAAATGTTCATCTGTTTTGGAATCTTTATTTTTTTCAAAGTCTTCAAGAGATTGTGGGTAAATGATTTGTTCCCTTAAATTACCACGGCATAAATAAGCTCTCTGAGGTAAATAAAACATATTCTTAGAGGTTGGGATAGTGATATTACCCTTATTACATGGCCATAAGCCACCCAACATTCTGAACAATGAAGATTTCCCAGAACCATTTGGCCCAGCGATCAATAAGTGTTGACCATGCTTGACACTAAAATTCAAACTTTCAATCAATGTGACATCAGCAGGGGTGATCAATCTTACATCCCTAAAAGTAATTTCATTTCCATAGTTCACATTAGTGGTGGCAGCTTCACCACCAGTAGGAAGTGGCTTATTCAATTTTCTGTCTTGAATTTTAACCAATGCATCTTGGAAATCTGCGACTCTTGTAGCATGACCAAGAACTTGCAAGAGGTATCTCCTTGAATATATTAATCTATCTAACGAGTCAGATGCACTCAAAAGCAATCTTCTATTCGTAATAAAGTCAGCAGAAGCTGATGGATTTGGATCGTTACCCAAATATCTGTTGATAAAGACCGGAGCCGAACATAAAACCAAACCAGCGGCACCCCAAAAGTACTTAACAATAAAAGTTTGCGCAATTTCATGAATGGCCTTTTTCCAATATTCCATCTTCAAAAACCTTTCTAATTGGTAGTAACAAAAATCAATATAATCCAATTCACGGTTGTAACCTCTTAAGAAGGCGATTTCTTCGTTATTGGTGACAATTTTTGAGTGCGCTGATCTTAATTGACCCTCTAAGTTTGCTCTTTCCGAAGCAAGCTTCGCAAATGGTGGAGAAAAGAAACGCAAAATAATAGTCGAAAAATGGGCTATAATCCCCAATGCAAGACTACCTTCACCACTCCCAACACCACTCTTTGACAATTCTCTTGCACACAACAACATATCCAACGTAGGCTTTAATAATTGGCCTGGTAAGCTTGACAATGCTTGCGCTAATCTCGCCACATCCGTGGAAATTCTTTGATCTGGGTCGTTAACCTTGTTGTCAGACAACTGGATCAATGAATAGTAGTTAGGATCAAGATTGTCAGGCAAATAGTCCTCCATAATACTATCATTCATGTTTCTTCTCAAAGACCTCCGCAACATGTTTCTGGTCCACGTCAACAATGAATTAACCACGGACGCTGGAAACCCAATCAACATCCATATTGCCAACAATCTCCCAAACATCTTGAGCCTTTTACTGACCAATGCCCCTACCAATTTACCATCCAAACTAGCAACTTTGATCGTCAAATACGCTCTCACCACCAATAATACCAAATGTGCCCCCAAATACATCACCGCCAGATCCGTCCAACTTGGTATGGCTGCTCGGAAGAGCCTAAGTCCCGCTTCCTTGCTGACTTTGGTCTTCTTTTTTTCCACATCCTTTGAAACATCCTCTCGTTTGCTCCGCTTCGAACTAGTGTTAGTTGCACCTGAGAACGCCGCTGTAATCAAAAGAATATACGACGAATTCAAAAAGAGCGACCTATTATTCTTGTATACATTGAATGCCGCCAATGCAAATGTGTTGTTTTTGGCCTTATTAAATGACATATCTAACCAGCTAAAAAATTCTCGACACTCTTTTCGGATTTATTTCTTCAATACTACTTATATCTTGATTTATATCGTTAATAGTCTTGTTCTTTTCCTTACTTAATGTATGAAAGAGTCCAATTTCACTGAATTTTATGTGTGGGGGGAATTAGGGATCGCTTACATAATTCACATGCTTGTGCTGATGAAACCTATCTATTCACTATATAAGTAACGGCCTTTCAGAGTAGAATCATAGCTATCGTTTCTCCTTCACGACTTATTGTGCTTGTAGTATATCAGATACCTTCTTTTTTCCTGCTTCAATTTTAGATTGTAATTCGTCCATGCGGTTATAGTAGAAATAATTGGCTAAATCGGTAGTATTCTTGCAATCTGGGGTTTGATCGAGAAGCTTTTCGTACAATTGACAGATATCATCCACAGAAGGGGCGTCATCAAGCTTGAGCAGGCCTTGTTGTATAGACAATTGAGTGCTAGCATGATCGAACCACTCGCGAGACACGGATTCTAGTTTCTGCTCGCTTGGTGACACCGAAGATGGGTCGATGAGACCGTTCATGTGGAGGAGTTGTGTTAACAACAATAAATCGCGTTTGGAATATGTGTTTGGGTCAGTAGGGTCTGTGGACATCCTTGTTGAACTCATGATTGTAATATATCGCTGGCAGGCGATTGTGAGTTGTAGAAGACTCGATTTGGCGGTGCAACATTTTGGTCTGATTCTGTTGTATGTGCAGAAGAGAAGGGCCACAAATATAAGCGTGTCCACACCAATTTGTCAACATGGACTTTAGAAATCAAACACTAGTAGAGGCAGTATCGGTAAGCAAGTATTCATTTGGTACGAGAAAAGTTCAGGATAGAGGTATATTGAACATATGAGGATATAGAGATGACGACACAGAAGCTATCACCGGATTTTGAAGAGCGGTTTTCCCGGATAAGCATCGATTTAGCGAGTCGTCGAGCGAGAGAGGATCAAGCGAAGTTAGATCCTCTCATAACCAATAATGAGACTGTAAAGATGTCTGGAGGCCCAAGATCGGGCAAGAAGAAGACTTATCCGTCACATCTATTTCCAAATGGAAATTCTAATGCTAATTATACTACACCATGCAAGCAGCCGGTTTTGTCTACGGCCAAGAGGGCTAAATCGAGGAACCTCTCGAACCAACTAAAAAATGCATCCAACTCTACGGCAGATGAACATTTAGTAGTAACTCCATCTAGAATAGGATCTCAGAACATTCATAAACACGGAAATAGGTCATTGTCTACTGTGAAGCAGCCATCAAAGAGAATATTGAGTTGCCCGATGTCTGAAAGACCCCATCGAGCAAAAGACCACCAGTTTTCTTTCATGAAAGAGACGTCTTCATCGATGAACAAGCATGTGAGCATTTTTAACAATGAAGTTGGGACCTCGCCGACCCCAAATAAAGTATCGCAAGAACCACAGCTACTTACAAAGAGAGTCAGCTCATCTAACTCGACAAAGAGGAGACATCAGCTAGAAAATCGCTCTCGAAATGTAAGTGGAGGAAGTTACAATCATGGGTTAAGAGATAGAAGAATCATGTCGACGCATGCACCTGCTACCAGACCGACTGATATCACTAATATAAGCTATAGTGTGCCCACGCTGAAGTTCCATGAAATTAAGTCGAAAGATGAGCATTTAAAGATTCCTCACTATAATGGGTTTACTTACAACACCCAATATGATACAATGAATTCACCATCGAAACTTAGAAATGTTTCGCAACCATTTACTCAAAAATCAAAACAAGATGTATACGATAGATTGTATAATAATTCACACAGTAATAGGGCAAAGACAGGAATAGCTTCACCAAACAGCCTGAGCTCAAGAAGAGATCGTCTTGAGAATAGGAAGCAAAATACTGAGACTGATTTGAATAATACGGAGATCCCAAAAGTTCAGAGCATACATGAACTTTACCTGATAATTTACCGTGAAGACCAAAATTTATTCTTATTTGGGGACACAAGTGATAAAAGTTTTACCACAAATCAGTATATGGATACTCAGAAGTTGGCTTCAGGAACAAGTGGGTCCTCTGGACCATTAAGCATATACGAAAGAGGAGAAATATTAAGAAAGAAGGATTTATACTTCATGCCCAGTGAAAATGGAAATACGTTGGAAGAAGATCCCAGATCTATCAATGTAAGAAACTACAGCCAGAATTTTGGATTTGATGATAGTACTGGCAATTATATAATTGTCCCTCATGATCACATTAACTACCGTTACGAGATTGAAACAATTCTAGGAAATGGTTCATTCGGCAACGTTGTCAGATGCAAAGATCATAAATATTCTGATGCAGACAATAATAGTAAAACAGTTGCTATAAAGATAATCAAAAACGACATAAATTGGTCGTTACAAGCCGTATACGAAACAAAAATGTTGAGGCATTTAAACGAAAAAATGAAATCCACCGGACAACTATTATTTGAAAAAGATTTCCCTATATTAACATATATTGATCATTTCCATTTTAGAGGTCATATGTGTATTATCTCTGAAATGCTATCATTAAATTTGTATTCTTTGTTAGAAATTATCAAATTTCGTGGCTTATCGCTTAAGATATTAAAGCTGTTTTCCAGAAGAATTTTAACAGGGTTAGACTTCATCCATAAGCAAAATATTATTCATTGTGATATAAAGCCAGAGAACATCATGATTAAATTGCCTCCAAACTTTGATCCAAAAGATGGTAATATAAATGAGAATGATGTCATCGTGAAAATCATTGATTTCGGTTCGTCTTGTTTTGATAAGGAAATTTCCTACTCATACATCCAATCGAGATTTTACAGAGCCCCGGAAGTTGTACTAGGTGCCAGTTATAACAACATGATTGATATCTGGTCATTTGGTTGCGTAATAGCAGAATTATTTTCAGGAGCACCATTACTTCCAGGTAAAAATGAATTAGAACAAATTGGCTTGATATTAGAGCTATTCGGTGCTCCCAATAGCAGCATTATACTAGATCAAAGAAGCAAACTAATGAAATCAGCAAAGAGACAAAAAGCGGCTACAGATATAAATAATATCGTCTCAGATACAGGTATGAATCAGTCAATCATAAATAAACTTCCTGTGGATGAAAAGACAATCCGAAAGACTCTCCTCTTCAGTCTTTTTGATATCCAAGGGAAAATAAACTTACAATTTCTTAACATGAGGAACCAGGCAGTCACTAATGCGGCAGGATCAACACTACCAGGCGCTTCCGCTGTAAAGAAAAAATTCAAACCAAATTCTAAAAGTTTGGAAATATTGTTACGTTTAAGTACATCCAGAGAGACTAAAAAAGACATTCACCTATTCTCTAAATTTTTGCATTCAATTTTTAAATGGAACTCTACGGAAAGGCCATCTGCATCAAAATTATTAGATGATTTATTTTTGAAGGAATTATAATATAAATAAGCATATATTTAAAACACAAATATTTCGTTCTAATCCCAACTGTAGTGTAGTTTAAGAATATGAATGTGGGC